GTCTTGCCTATATACTGGGTTTTTTGGAGCTTACAGTCCCCAAGTGGGCATTTGAAGGCATAGACGACGTTAGTCTCTTTTAAAGCGTTCTGTTTCGTGTCTGGAGAGTTTCTCATGAGTAGGCTGGCCGTTTTTCTGGTTTTATAGTAAATCGTCAGTTGTATCCTCTGATTTTTGTCTGTAGGGATAACGTTTCTATTAACAATATCTTTCAGGACCCTTTCCTCTGTTTTATGAGCTGTGGAAAAGAAGTTCCTGTAAAATAGTCTAATAGGGGGTATAGGTGTTGTGTTAGTTGTCTCTTCGGAGGTTGCATGGCTTTTCACTTTCCTTCTTATGATGTCTTCGATGAAACCATTGGAGAAGCCGTTATTGACTAGAACCTGCCTTACCCTACAGAGTTCTTCGTCGACTTGCTTCCATTCTGAGCTGTGGCTGAGAGCACGGTCGACGTATGCGTTAACAACACTCCTCTTGTACCTGTCAGGGCAGTCGCTGTTGGCATTTAGGCACATTCCTATGTTTGTTTCCTTTGTGTAGACTGCAGTGTGGAAACCTCCGCCCTTTTCCATGACTGTTACATCTAGAAAAGGCAGCTTCCCATCCTTTTCCGTCTCGTAAGTGAAACGCAGCACGGAACTCTGCTCAAATGCCTCCTTCAGCTCCTGCAGATGTCTGACATCAGGTACCTGTGTAAAAATGTCGTCAACATACCTGCAGTATATGGCCGGTTTCAAGTTCCATCGAGCAAAAAGTCTTAGTCGACATGAACTTGAAACCGACCATATACTGCAGGTATGTTGACGACATTTTTACACAGGTACCTGATGTCAGACATCTGCAGGAGCTGAAGGAGGCATTTGAGCAGAGTTCCGTGCTGCGTTTCACTTACGAGACGGAAAAGGATGGGAAGCTGCCTTTTCTAGATGTAACAGTCATGGAAAAGGGCGGAGGTTTCCACACTGCAGTCTACACAAAGGAAACAAACATAGGAATGTGCCTAAATGCCAACAGCGACTGCCCTGACAGGTACAAGAGGAGTGTTGTTAACGCATACGTCGACCGTGCTCTCAGCCACAGCTCAGAATGGAAGCAAGTCGACGAAGAACTCTGTAGGGTAAGGCAGGTTCTAGTCAATAACGGCTTCTCCAATGGTTTCATCGAAGACATCATAAGAAGGAAAGTGAAAAGCCATGCAACCTCCGAAGAGACAACTAACACAACACCTATACCCCCTATTAGACTATTTTACAGGAACTTCTTTTCCACAGCTCATAAAACAGAGGAAAGGGTCCTGAAAGATATTGTTAATAGAAACGTTATCCCTACAGACAAAAATCAGAGGATACAACTGACGATTTACTATAAAACCAGAAAAACGGCCAGCCTACTCATGAGAAACTCTCCAGACACGAAACAGAACGCTTTAAAAGAGACTAACGTCGTCTATGCCTTCAAATGCCCACTTGGGGACTGTAAGCTCCAAAAAACCCAGTATATAGGCAAGACAACAACATCTCTTTCTAGGCGTTTAACGATGCATAAACAACAGGGCTCCATTAAGGAACATATAATCTCTTCCCATAACCAAACCATCGCCAGAGAAATCCTAGTAAACAACACAGAAATCATCGATAGATACAGCGATAGCAGGCGGCTTGACGTTTGCGAGGCACTACACATCAAGAAGTCAACACCAGCAATCAACAGCCAATTATTGCACAACTATATTCTACCCACCTCAAGACTCCGCTCCAATATAGAAGCATCAAGAAATATGGACCAATAGGCTTTCTACAAACACTTCTATTCAATATCCATTGTTTCGTGTTCTGTCTTGTGTTGATACTTTTAATACCCTATTAATATCCTCTAATGCCACATCATCCTTCCCACCTCACTCAAATGTAATGCCACATCACCCTTCCCACCTCACTCAAATGTAGATATAAAATCAGGGAAACGCAAGTTCTAATCAGTTGTGTATTTGTGAAGTCTTTGAAAATGTAATAAGTTTTACGAAACGCGCCCGTGTCGCGTCAGACTAGAAATAAAAATGAATTTTGGAGAAGTGATTTTTGATTTACCTCCAACAGTGAAGCATAATGTACGAAAGATTGAGAAAATTCGTGTTAGAATTATTAATCTTACTTTTTCGGTCATATTTAATAAAATATGTCTACAGGAAAGACTGCTACCAAAATATACTAATATATATATATATATATATATATATGCGAACAAGCCTGAATGGTCCCCAGGACAATATGCAACTGAAAACTCACACCCCAGAAGTGACTCGAACCCATACTCCCAGGAGCAACACAACTGGTATGTACAAGACGCCTTAATCCACTTGACCATCACGACCGGACATAATGAGGTGATAGCCGAGGCTATTTGAACCACCCCACCGCCGGCACTCGTATAGTAATCTTGGGCATAGCATTTTACCAAATCACCTCATTCTTTGGGGCACACGTGAGGAACACAAATGCGAACAAGCCTGAATGTTATATATATATATATATATATATATATATATATATATATATATATATATATATATATATATATATATATATATATATATGTCGTACCTAGTAGCCAGAACGAACTTCTCAGCCTACTATGCAAGGCCCGATTTGCCTAATAAGCCAAGTTTTCATGAATTAATTGTTTTTCGACTACCTAACCTACCTAACCTAGCCTAACCTAACTTTTTTGGCTACCTAACCTAACCTAACCTATAAAGATAGGTTAGGTTGGGTTGGTTAGGTTCGGTCATATATCTACGTTAATTTTAACTCGAATAAAAAATATTGACCTAATACATAATGAAATGGGTAGCTTTATCATTTCATAAGAAAAAAATTAGAGAAAATTTATTAAATCAGGAAAACTTGGCTTATTAGGCAAATCGGGCCATGCATAGTAGGCTGAGAAGTGCGTTCTGGCTACTAGGTACGACATATATATATAGCCAGAACACATTTCTCAGCCTACTATGCAAGGCCCGATTTGCCTAATAAGCCAAGTTTTCATGAATTAATGGTGTTTCGACTACCTAACCTACCTAACCTAACCTAACCTAACTTTTTCGGCTACCTAACCTAACCTAACCTTTAAAGATAGGTTAGGTTAGGTTAGGTAGGGTTTGTTAGGTTCGGTCATATATCTACGTTAATTTTAACTCCAATAAAAAAAAAATTGACCTCATACATATTGAAATGGGTAGCTTTATCATTTCATAAGAAACAAATTAGAGAAAATATATTAATTCAGGAAAACTTGGCTTATTAGGCAAATCGAGCCTTGCATAGTAGGCTGAGAAGTGCATTCTGGCTACTAGGTACTACATATATATATATATATATATATATATATATATATATATATATATATATATATATATATATATATACTCGGTGGGATATATATATATATATATATATATATATATATATATATATATATATATATATATAACTGAAAACTCACACCCCAGTTGCATATGTCCTGGGGACCATTCAGGCTTGTTCGCATATATATATATATATATATATATATATATATATATATATATATATATATATATATATATATATATATATATATATATATATATATATATGTCGTACCTAGTAGCCAGAACGCACTTCTCAGCCTACTATGCAAAGCCCGATTTGCCTAATAAGCCAAGTTTTCATGAATTAATGTTTTTTTGACTACCTAACCTACCTAACCTAACCTAACCTAACGTTTTCGGCTACCTAACCTAACCTAACCTATAAAGATAGGTTAGGTTAGGTTAGGTAGGGTTGGTTAGGTTCGGTCATATATCTATGTTAATTTTACCTCCAATGAAAAAAAAATTGACCTCATACATAATGAAATGGGTAGCTTTATCATTTCATAAGAAAAAAAATTAGAGAAAATATATTAATTCAGTAAAACTTGGCTTATTAGGCAAATCGGGCCCTGCATAGTAGGCTGATAAGTGCATTCTGGCTACTAGGTACGACATATATATATATATATATATATATATATATATATATATATATATATATATATATATATATATATATATATATATATATATATATTATATATTTATATATATATATATATATATATATATATATATATATATATATATATATATATATATATATTTATATATTTATATATATATATATATATATATATATATATATATATATATATATATATATATATATATATATATATATATATATATATGTATATATGTGTGTGTGTGTGTGTGTGTGTGTGTGTGTTTGTGTGTGTGTGTGTGTTTGTGTGTGTGTGTGTGTGTGTGTGTGTGTGTGTGTGTGTGTGTGTGTGCGTGCGTGTGTGTGTGTGAAAATCATATTTAGGCAATGGAGTGACTTGAAGCAGCGTTCTGGTGATTCCCAGGCACCTACCGTAACCAACTCGGCCACAATGGTAGAAAAGTCGACCTACATGGAACTCTACTGAATTCACTTGGGGGTTCTGGAGGCCCCAAACAGGAGCCCATCCTGGGTTTCACAGTCAACCCGACCACACTCTGGCATACGGTGATGGCGTTCGCATTCTTACACCCCCACATCAGTTAACAATGATTCAGTGGCATGATATATCAGTGAAAATCATTTTGAGGCAATGGAGTGACTTTAGTGGGATTGGCAGTTCTGTAGGCAGTGTGGTCAGGTCGACTGTAAAGCCCGAAAGTTGGGCTCCAGTTAGGGCCTCCTAAACCTCCCAGTGAATTCAGTAGAGTTCCGTGTTGGTCACCTTTTGTACCATTGTGGCCGTGTTGGTTAAGGCAGGTGTCTGGGAATCACCAGAACGCTGGTTTAAGTCACTCCACAGACTATAAATGATTTTCATTAATATATCACGGCATTGTAATTTCATTGTGATATAATGATATTTCATTCTGTTTAAATTTCATTGTAAATTAATGGTAACCATGTAACCTGCACTCATAGGTACAAGCGAGAAGTGTCTATGGGTGGTGATAATGGGCATGTAAGTATGGAGGAGACCCAAGCAAACATCCAAGACCCTGTCGCCACTGTGTCCAGTGTTCTTCTTCTCCCATCCACGGCTATGATGCAGGTGAGCCTTTCCCTTCACACCAGATGTTCCTTTGTTTTGAGCCAGCTATGGACCTCCTGCACATGATATCATGCCGTTTTGTGCGGTACATAAAAATGCATATGATGGGAGCTAACCGACACTGCCTTCATGTAAGCTTATAGTAAATTTGGACTCATATCGTCGATTCTAGCATTAATATGACGAGGGATCTTTTTATAGTAATGATCGAACATCGTACATCATATCGGTGTCTTGGACGGATCAGTGAGACGAATGCAAATGTACTTATTTTAATTTGAAACGTTCTGTTATGCATGCTAACGATCACTTAGAATTTAAATAAAATAAAATTATTTTGGTAGCCAACATTAAAGAAGATGAAGCAATAATTGGAACTTTTCGCTAAGGGTCAATCTAATATTCCCATCATGGCGTCACCCCGAAGAGGGTCCCCATCAAGTGTCTGGACAAAATTACCATTGTTGTGTCATCAAATTAACGTCAATCTAAGTAAGAACAGAGTTGTAGCTATCGTGTATCGTAGCAATGTTAGACGTAAGTTCTTGTACCCGCCTCTAAATATTAACAGTTAAAATGCAGGTTCGAATCCTCGTCACGGCCCTTGTGGATTTGTTCATTATTAAATGTTCAATATAAATGAAATTTTAAACAGTCGTATTTTGGATGGAGTTAGAGGAAAGGATAGTTCATGAGATCAAGCTCCAGTCCCAAGTCACAGTTCTCCCTGGAAACTTCGTAAGAATATATCTGCTTCCATGTCCGAAGGGTTTGGAAAAGGCGGGTTCGGGAAAAAGTAGGATGTGGAGTTGAAATTCTTGAAGAGGGTGTGGATGGGGAACAAGGAGGCTAAAATGTTTGGTGGCCTGTCCACCGCGGGTTGGCGTCGAGTATTTTTCTTGAATCTTGTATTTGGTTTTGTTATTCCAACATATCCTTGGGCGGCGGTAAGTTGTGTCGGCTTAAGAGGTCCGTGCCAGGGCTGGAGGTGAGGTGGAGAGCAGCGTGGTGTGTTGGCGATGGGTAAACACGCCTCACTCTTTGTTTTTCATCAGACTTCTTTCTTCTGATGTAGGTGGTTGTGTCCATGTGTTCTAGGTCTTCTCGCACTTCTGGGTCTTCTGTTTCTTCTTCGTCTGGGTCTTGCTTCTTGTTGACATGGCCGACCCCACCAGTAGAGACGACATTAGACATGACATGACCCCCACCGGTTGAGACGACATTAGACATGACATGACCCCCACCAGTTGAGACGACATTAGAGGTAGACTCCTGTTCAACCTCATGACGGCAAGAAATCACCTTCCTCGGCCCCTTCTTTCACTCCTTCGTTGGCGCCCGCCCGGGAACCCCCGACATAGTACTGTCGAACCTCAAAGGTAACATATTTCACACCAGAATCAGCCCAGCCAGAGATGTGGGATCCCACATACCTACACTTATCCAGTTCCAAACGTTCCCCTTTATGATCCTTGGCAATCCTAGACCCAACCTCAGCACCCTCAGACTCTCCTCCCACATGGAATTCCTGGAAGGAGGAACCAGTAATCGAACTCCATAACCACCCTCCCCTGGACCTTAAATACAGCAGTGGGCACCCTACATGCCCGCATCAAAGAAGCAACCCTGGAACACGGCGACCTCACCAACATCAGAGTAATCAAAAACTACACCCCAGCTAGGGAAATCAAGGAAAGAATGAGGTCATATCAGTTAGAATGCGCTAAGCGCACTAACACCGCCACCCACCTCTGGACATGCTACAAGCCCTCAGACGCGAAGTAATAGGCCTCACACTACTCAACAAGCGCCACATCTGGGGCGCCCTAGTCAATCAGAGATTGACTAGGGCGAGATAAGAGATAACCGGCCGCGTTCTGGAGGAAGATAAAAAATCTCCTCGGCCCATCCAAAACCTCCACACTCCTTCATTAACCACACATACTCCGACGCCAACAACGTGATGATAACGACCAAAATCGAGAAACCCCAACTGCAGGTCAATCTAATGGAAAGGGTCTGGAACGCACTCTTCACTGAAAATCCCACCCAGGCCAACTTTGAAAACCACAGAATCGTTAACCATTGGGCAACAACCAACGAGGAGCACCTACTCAGTAGGCCCTCCATAGACGCGACGCAGCTCGACCCTAACCATTACCAGGCCCATCAACCTGCTCGAAATGAGGGATGTCCTGAGGAAGACAAGGAACAGGGCTAACTGTTACCACCTACAATCAACTTAAAATCTTCCCCCATCAACTACTTACAAACGCTGCTCAACATCTGCAACGCCATATTGACAACAGGACACCTTCCTCCAGCGTTTAAGACAGCAAAGATGATCTTCATCCCCAAGCCTGGAAAGAACAGGCACACCCAAAGAACTATAGGCCCATCTCCCTGCTGGAAACGGCGAGTAAATGCTTCTAGAAAATAATTTCGAATAATGTAAACTACTACACCTCTACACAGAAAAGCAGTTCGGCTTCAGGGCCCAACGTTCCACCCAACATGCTATTAACATTTTATACGACGCGGCCGACAACATTCGTAAGCAGAAGCAAACGGTACTAATAGCATCCAAAGACATTCACAAGCCCTTTGACAGCCTTTGGCACGACGTACTTCTATTCAAGATGGACCTTCCTGAGACTAATCAACAACTTTCTGAAAAGAAGGATGGTCAAGGAACTTAACAATATGCCTTCAGCCGAACAAGTCCAAGTGGGTGGGGACGAGAACAGATTGACTAGTTTAGCAGTTACCAGGGAGGATGTTATTAATCAAATAGTAAAAGTCAAACCAAACAAATCTCCACGCCCAGACGAAGTGTTTGCCAGGATGCTTAAAGAATTCAAAGAGCAGCTTTGCGAGCCACTGTCTACCATATTTAATAAATCGTGAGAGTCAGGCATAGTACCAGAGTCATGGAAGGTTGCTAATGTGGTACCAATTTTTAAGAAAGGAGATAGATCACTTGCATCAAACTATCAGCCTATTATCCTAACGTCTATAGTAGGAAAGTTACTTGAATCGATAATTGCAAATACAATTCATCTTCATCTTGAAAACATAAATTAATAAATGATTCACAACATGGTTTTACATATGGCCGTTCATGTTTAAAAAAAAATCTATCATTTTATTCCAGCATAGTTGAGGCAGTTGATAATGGTAAGGCTTATGATGTTGTGTACCTTGACTTCAGAAAAGCTTTTGATACAGTGCCATATTGATTGATTCAAAAGTAGAGGCTCATGGTAATGGGGGTGCTGAGTTGTGTTTGATTAGGGCATGGCTACACCAAAGGAAACAAAGAGTTAGTATAAATGGGGTTAAGTCAGAGTGAGAAAATGTTGTAGGTGGGGTACCTCAAGGCTCTGTCTTGGGACCTCTGTTATTTATAATATATATAAATGATTTACATTCAGGTTTGGGAGCAATATTTGCAAATTGGCCGATGATACAAAAATCTGTAGGGAAATAAACACGGAGAAAGACTCACTATGACTCCAAAACGATCTAAATAGAGTTTTGAAATAGTCAAAAGATTGGCAGATGCAGTTTAATGCTGATAAATGTCAGGTTTTGAAGCTAGATAATGTTGATAGAGTTACAAGATACGAGCTAGATAATGTTGAGATTGCGAAGTCGGATTGCGAAAGGGATCTGGAAGTTATGATTAGTAAGAATTTAAAACCCAAAAATCAATACATAAATGTTCGTAATAAGGCTAATTGGAAACAAGATTTATTTATCGAAGCGTTACTAATTAGACAAATGGTGTGGCTTTTCAGCTATATCTTGCTCTGGTTAGGTCTGTCTCAGTTTTTAATGGATCTATCCTTTCCCTAATCGTTGTTAGATATAACTGAAAAAAAACTTTAGGATTTGTCTTTGCTTACCCTGCTATGCGAACTTCATAGTTCGCATAGTTTATTTTTGCCCTCCTTATCTCTTTTTAACATTTCTAACCAGTTGTGCGAATTCCTATTCTAAACTGACGTCCCCAGTCTTAATCCTTTTGTACCACGCTCTCTTTCTACCAATAAGGTTCTTCACATCCATTGTTATCCATTTTGGTTCATTAGTATTCGATGTATGGTATACTATCGTATTCAATTTGTATGGTATACTCTGGTATTCAATTTGGTATACTATGGTATTCAATTTGGTATACTATGGTATTCAATTTGTATGGTATACTACGTTCCTGTGCTTTGCTTAGAATATTTTTAAATAAGTCATATTTTGAATCCACATCGAAATCCCTTTTTACTTCTCCTATCACTGGGTTCACGTCTAGCTCCAAGACCGGCCCATCCCCCATGCCCAAGAATTCCAATCTATTTGACCACAAAAATTAATTTAGCTATTAAAATCAGCTTTTCGAAAATTTGGCACTTTGATAGAATTTTTCTCCTACAGATCTATTACATTCTAAGCTAAATCTGATTTCTTTGTGATCACTGTTCCCTAGCTCACTCACTATTTTGATGTCATTAACTTGTGTTTCCCTGTTAGTTAACACTAAATCTAAAATATTATTTTCCCACGTTGTTTCCTTAATGTGTTCCGTAAGAAACAATCGTCCATTAATTCTAGAAAATCTTCTGCTTCATTATTCCCTGTTCTGTTAAACCAATTTATTCCACTAAAATTAAAGTCACCCATGACACAAATACTGTTGGACCTAGATGCTCTAGATATTTCATCCCATAGATGCTTTGCTTCCATCCTGTCTAAGTTTGGTGGCCTATATATAACTTCTATTATAAGATTATTTGCTTTTTCGTTTAATTCTATCCAAATAGTTTCTGTGTGTGGCTCAGTTTTGATTCCCTCTTTGAGACTACATTTCAAATTTTCCCTAACATATACGGCTACTCCCTCTCCTCGTCTAATATATCTATCTGTATGAAATAGTTTCAGTAAGTGCAGTAATATCTATTTTTTCTGTGCAGACAAGAGAATTTAAATCGTTTATTTTGTTTCTT